CACACACTGCCCCACACACTGCCCCACACACTGCCCCACACGGTGCCCCACACACTGCCCCACACACTGCCTCACACGGTGCCCCACACACTGCCCCACGTGCTGCCCTCCTGAAATAAGTAGGGATCCAGATGGGGAGAGCTCGGGGGTGCCAAGGTGAGGTGTGCAGATGGAAGAGCACTGTGGGGCAGGATGGGCTGTTCTGGTCCCCCACCCAGCCTGGATCCGGCAAGATCAGCCCCCAGCACGGGCTCAGCTCTGCCCCCATCCCACAGGGTGATGCTGAGGAAATGCCAGAGTCAGAGCAGCTGCATCTTCAGCCACCTGCAGAACCTGCTGCAGTATCACCAGCTGCAGTGGAGGGAGGTCCCGGCCATGGCGCTCTACTTTGAGGTGGGTGTGGGGATGGAGCGGGGGTCTCCTCGGGTGATGGGGGGCCGAGCCCCCTCCCGCCTGCTGACCGCCACTCATCACAGATGTGGAGCTGCCAGGAGCCCCGGGATGATGACTCCTGCATGGAGAAGATCTTCAGGAAATACATCCCCAGCAAACGGCCTGAGAGCAGAGAGCTGGCGCTGCGCGGGCTGCAGCACCTTTACACCGGGAGGACGCAGCTCCTGCTGCCCGACGTGCTGCGGTGGCTGCAGGACGTGCGGGCTGACGTCAAACTGCAGGCCATGTGTCTGCTGCGGGGCATCCTGGCACAGCACCCCGCCAGCATCCCAGGTGTGCTCGGCCAGCTGGCCGTGCTGCTGCTGTCCTGCTTCAACGAGGTGAGGGGCGCGGGGCAGCGGGGAGCAGCCAAACGTCCCCCGCACCGTGCAGAGCTCAGCACCGCTCCCTGTGCGTCCCCTTCCAGGACAATGTGGAGCTGCGCTGGCGCTCCATGGAGCTCTTTGCGCTGCTGCTGGAGTTGCCGGGCAGGAAGCAGCTGCTGCCAGAGGTGGAGAGGAGCCTGCTGCCGCTCTTCATTCATATGAATGAGGACATCCCCAACGTGGCCCAGGTGGGTGCAGCTCGTGGGTCACGGGGTCGCGGGGTCACCTGGTGTGACCGCAGCCCGGCCACTGCGTCACTGCACTGTGAACGCTGGGAAAGGCCTCTGAGGTCACCGGCTCTGACCAGCAAACCCCCTCCATGCCCACCCGTACAGTTCTCCCTGATCCCCCTCCCTTGTTCATTCATACAGCCCTCCTAGATACCAGATCCCCCCCTTATGCACCCACACGGTCCTCCCAGTCCCCCTGCTGCCCCGCACCCACCCCTACAGTCATGAAGGTGCAGAAAACCCTCCCACATCCCCCCTGCCGTTCCCCCAGACCCTGCTGGCCGAGACCAGCTGTGGTGCCACCCCAGGGTGGGGATGGTGGTGGCTCCCAGGCTCTGCCGCCAACACCCCCTGACCGTGTCGCCGTCCCCAGGCTGCTCAGAACGCTCTGATCCACGCCGCCAAGCTCCTGGAGTGGCAGCAACTGCAACGCTTGGCCAGCATGGCGGAGGTCTGGATGATCGCTGACTGCCTGGTAAGGACCCCCACCTTTCAACCCCTCTTCCCCACCCCGGGACCCACCTTGCTCCAGCCAAAAGGGGAGGGGGCATCTGTGCGGGTGCCTCCTCCACCGTGCTGTTCTCTGCAGCTGCAGAAGAGGGGCAGATTTGCGGAGCTGTACCTGAAGCAGATCATGCTGCACCTGCAGAGCCCCCAGGCGCCCGTGAGGGAGGTGGCCGTGCGCTTCCTGGGTGAGTCCCGGCCTTGATGGGTGCCCGTCTTTCTGCCCCCACCCCCCGCTGAATGCTGTGGGGTCACCGTGCGGGGGAGGCCCTGGGGGATCATTGGGGAACCGATGGGGTTCTTGGGGGTTATTGAGGCAAGACTGGGATCAGTGGGGCATTATGGGGCTCGCTGGGGCGTTGTGTAGGATCTCAGGGGGTCATTGGGGCACCATCGTGGTCCTTGTGAGCAGTTGGGGCACCGTGGGGGTCATTGGGGCACTATAGGCTCCCTGGGACACTGTGGGGATGACGAGAACACTATTGGGGTACTGTGGGGTTTCCAGAGGTCCTTGGGGCACCATGGAGGTCCCTGGGGCCACTGTGGGGCTCCTTGGGGCGCTGTGGGGTCCCCGGGCGCCTTGGGGCCGGGCAGGTGCTGACAGTGGCTGTGTGCACAGGGATGCTGGGGCGGCAGCTGAGGCATGAGAACCAGCAGATGGTGTTGGACATCCGTAAAGGTGAGCCTCCCCCCCGCTGCCCCGCGCCCTGTGAAGCGCCGTGTGGGGCCCACTGGTGACGCAGCCCCACTCCATTGCAGCCCTGGAGGGCGCCAAGGAGGACAGCGATCCGGCCGTGCGCTGCCTGGTGCAGCAGACGCTGCTGATCCTCAGCCTGATGGAAGATGTGCCGCACACCAGGCCTGGGGGCAGAGCGCTGTGCCGGTGGTTCCGGAGGATGCGGAGGCAGTAGTGCAAATCCAAAGAGTGTGGAGGTGTTGCATTCTGCCCCTCACTGCCGCTCCAACGCCAACCCGAAGAGCAACCACCAAGAGCCCCAAAGCAAACCGCGTCCCCAGCCATAACCAGAACTCCAACCTGAGCCTCAAGCACGGCCATAAGCCCAGCTGACTTGCAGAAACTCCGTGACCGCAAAGGAGCGATAAAAGCAGGTATGTTTATCAGCGCTGCGCACACACTGGTTGAAAACAGGGTAACCCCTCTTAGGTTGCACACCCAGCTCCTCTTTCCCAAAGCAAATGCCACTCATGCAGTCCCCAAACAGAGCTGCACCCTGGAGAGGAGGCACACAGGGCCCGCGGTCTCTGCGTCTGCGAGGGGAGCAGAGCGGCCCTCTCGGGTGCTTTGGGACACGCCTGAGCAGCCCTGCGAGTCACCGGCCAGCAGTTCACAGTCTCCTCTGACGAGATTCTCTCCTGCCCAATTCCAGAGGAATTGCCTGAATTGCCACCCCTGCCCAGCCGGATCCATGTCACCTTTCTGGTGAAAAGCAGCCGAGAAGAGAACAGGCGATGTCAAGAAGGAGAGCAGGTGAGACTGCAGCTCGGGGTTGGGATCTGCACGGGGTGTTTCCCTGACCTGGCAAAAGCCCATTGCCCATCCCCAGGCGGTCACTGTTCCACATGGAGGGATGGCGTGGGGCTGCCAGGAGCCCCCATTTCACACGGCTGCCCCTCTTCAGCCCTCAGGAAAGCGCCAGCGCGACCCGAGAGCTGTGTGTGGGGAAGGCTGTGTTGCAGCCAAGGACCCTGGCTTGGGGTTGCAGGATACGGCCCCAAAGCCGTCACCCACTGAGGCAGACCTCTCCCACTCTGTCCTTTCAGTCAGCTGCCAGCGGTCCCGGGGGCATCTTCTGCCAAAAAGCAGCCTCAGAACAAAAGAAGGGAAAATGCTCTACCAAAAACAAAGCGACAGAGATGGGTCCGGCACAGGCAGCGCAACCTCCAGGTGGCAAAGGAGAAGAACACGGCACGGTGAAAGCCCCCGGTACAGGAGGAGAGCTGGAAAAGGCCCAGGCCGAGCTCAGAAAGCACTGCGAAGCCCCAGCCCTGCACCAAACACCGCTGGCAGCCCTGTGGTCCTCGAGCTCAAGAGCAGCCTGCCCAGGAGCGCAGCTGCAGCGCCTCTGCTGCGGTGCCACGGACACAAAGGGGACGAGATCTGTGCAGAGTCAGCCGCCAGAGAGCAAAGCGGGGCTCCCCAGGAGCGGGACGGCCTGTCCACACCGAGCAGGGCATGGGGTGCAAGGAGAAGCAGAGCTCCACCTGAGGCTGCAGAGCAGATGCCCGATTCCTATCCACGCCATTCCTGAACCCTTCTTTGGTTTTGGCTCACAGTTTGCTTTCTGAGGCGCTCCTTGCCATGAGACTGACTTATCTAGGAGATGAGAGGTGGCAACAACATCACTTGGTGGGCAATTTTACAATGGAAAGCATTTCTTCGGAGCTGTTTGCCTTCAGAAGAGATTGCTCAGGACTGTTTATTGGCGCAAGGTCTGGACTGTGACCAAAAACTCCAGCTTTGAACTGGGGAATGATACCATCGTATCCATTGAGAAACAGGATGCAGGTGGGCACCTCCCTGCTTCCTCTTATCTGCTGGCAAGGCCCGGGAGATGGGAACAAAGGCGTTTCTGCTGAGATCCTAAAGCCAGCAGCTGCCGCTCCAAAGAGAGCTGACTCGACCGCTTTGGATTTGAACTGTCGCTCCAAAGAGAGCTGGCTCTCTTTTGTGGCCTCTCTTGGACTTATGAATAAGTTTGTACAGTCGCCATGTCACCAACCGAACAGCGGCCTCTGATGACCCATCACTGCTGAACATCAAGGTCTGAACTACGAACCAAGCTGGACCCACGGTGGTGATTACATCTCTCTTGCTTGCTACACAGACTGTTGCTTTATTTTCCATCTTTCTATCGCCCATCTTCCCCATCTCCCTGAACAGCTTGGATTCGTAATAAACTGGACGGGCTGACCATCATTGTGTCTTCATCTGTCCGTCAGCTGTGCATACATTAGAAGAACCTCCCCTCGCTCTGGCGATGGCAGCGGGACAGTGCCGTCTCCATGAAGAAAAGCAGAGCTAGAAGGACAGTGGGGGCTCGTCCTTCCAAGACCCCTTGGCTCTGGCAGCCTGCATTCCTTGGAGCCTTGGCATCTCGAGTTCCTCCATTCCAAAGTCCCGCTCTGGTGCACACAGAGCACAGCGAAGCCCAGGGTTTGGCAGCACTTGAGAGGCGTAGCCGTGCGTGAGGCTGGGCCTGGGCCAAAAGGAGGCTGTTTCCTTCCAGCTCGCTGCTCTTTTGGATCCCTGGTGGGAAGAGAAGGGCTTTGTGAGAGGCGTAACTTAGGACAAAACACTGCGGCTGGGCGATTTGTAGGGACGGGGTAAAGGGAGGCAGAGAAATGGCTGCCTCCCCTCGGCGTTCTGACCTGAAGCCTCCCCAGGGCTACGCGTGAGGGAAAAGAACGGCCCTATTTTTTGACAAGAGTCTTCTCGTACGTAAATCCATCGGTTGTCGGACCACATGGAAAGAGATGGAGGAAAATACAAGAAAGGTCTTGCAGAAAATGGCCTTTTGCACTGTTCTGGTCGTTGGTGCACGGAACAGGATCGCTCTTTCTCCCTGAAACTCAGGCCCCAGGGGAAACAATTGCAATTCCTCATTCAATAGAAATATTTGCATTCCCTTCCAAACTTCGTTTTGAGTAAACCAGTCCCGTGCCCAACAGGTCGTTAAGGTACCGTGTGCCATTGAAAACCCTGGCTTTAGAAGCAAAGGAGACGCCGCGTTCTGCTCCCCGACTGCCTGCAACGTTGCTCCTCTCTGCGCCCTCGGCCGGCCATCTCTAAGGGCAGCTCACAGCCGGCGCTGAGCGTGGCACCAGCAGGGTGGGACGGGGCCGCTGGGAGGCCCCACCTCACAGCGCTGCTGTCGCCTCTCCAGCCCTCAGCAGAGCCCAGCTCCGCCGGAGAGCCGTGTGTGGGAAAGGCTGTGCCACAGCCGGGCTCCTGGCGCGGGGCTGCAACAGGCGCCTCTTGTGAGCCCTGCTGTCGCTCCAAGAACAAGGTGGGCTGTATGGGAGCATTTCGGACGCAAGGAGGAGAAGGCCAGAGGCCTGGAAATGTGACCTGTGCAGGCGCTGCCCAGGGCAGCCGAGCGCTGAGCATCCAGCACCGGGCGCTCGCTCATCACTCAGAGTGCAGCTGCTTTGGAGCGGCCTGGCCAGAACCAGCAGGCGACCGCAAGGCACGAGGGGCTGTGGGGCCTCACGCTGTGCTGCAGATGGCAGCAGAGGGGCAGTGTGGGGCAGTGCGATCTGAAGAGCCGTCAGCTCGCAGTGAAGAGCAGACGGCAAGGAGTCTTGTGCTTTTGCTTAGAAATAGAGGCAAAATCCTCAGCACCAAAACACAGAATCGTACGGTCACCGAGGTTGGAAGAGACCTCCAAGATCACCCCGTCCAACCGTCCGCCTCCCGCACCGTTTGGCACTGAGCCGTGTCCCTCAGCACTGTGTTATATTATAGATTGAACAGCCCAAATACGTATTTTGGAAATCGTCTTTTGTTAAAGTGAGCAAGTAGGCAAAACAGCGCTGGGCGGCCGCGGAGTCTCTGCTCCACCTTCCAGCTGACGTCTGCACAGCTCACTGCCGCTGTTGGTGGCTTCGCATCTCCTGCTGCGGTGCTGCTGTGAGGCAGCCGTGCTTTGTCCTGCCAGATGGGGGCTGGGATCTTTGCAGTACCTCCGTTCGTGATCCTTGCGCTGCGATAGCGAGCTGTAGGATACAACCTGCAAGGGATCCGTATCGTGTCCTGGTCACGATGACTCGAAGGGAATTCACAGATAGCATCGCTTAGGGGGGTTTACAGCTTAGAGGAGTTTATGGCCCAGAGGTGTTTGTTGTTTAGTTCAGCCTTTTGCTACCCCAAGACCAATGTATTGCTTGGCTGAACCTTTTTGCTTTTCCCAAGTGTGTTTCCAAAAGGGAGCCTCCTCGAGTCAGCAGAGAGGGGTCCCTAAGAAAGCGATGGATGGGGAAGATGAGCGGGATGAGAAACGGCTGAGACAGGAAAGGAAAGGAGCTCAGAGCTGAAACAAAGGTCGGAAGGACGCGGCGAGGAAGAATCACAGAGTCACAGAATGGCCAGGGTTGGAAGGGACCTCAAGGATCGTGAATCTCCAACCCCCTGCCACATGCAGGGCCACCAACCTCCACGTCTAATGCTAAAAGAAGTCTGACTTCATCCCGGAACGAGCACCGAATGGGGAGGAAGACGTCGAGCCTTCATCCAATGGAAGCTACTGCGCGTGCCCTGGGGAGGGGGACAGTATGTAAATGAATTCCTGGAAGAGCAATTAATATGCCAATGGCTCTCAGATAACACTGCTGAATATGCATGGCGTGGCTTATGAACGTAGCAGACCCCGCTCTGGTGTGTGAGCCAGGAGCAGCGAGCGGCGCTGAAATCCACGCATCTGCTCTCATAACCCGACGTGGGTTGGAGTTGGATTCTGCACATCAGCGCGGCATCTTTAGAGCTGTACAAGTCCTGGGCTCCGTGCCTTAAGGCTGTGCTTGTTGGTGCTTCCAGATGTCTGTAGTTGGAAGCTGGCCCCTGCTGCTGTTGCGGTTTTCTAGTGGTAAGCTCACAGAGGACTGGATTAACAAACGGGTTGCTCCCATCACAGCACCGCATCCAGCCGTTCCCTCAGCACCTCCAGGAGCGCTGCCTCCAGGCCTGGGCAGCCCGTCCCAGAGCCGCCACTCTTTTTTCCTAATGACCAGCACTGAAGCCAAAGCAGACGGGCCTGCAGGGACCCCGGGGCCTGAAGGGTGATGTGGGGCTATAGGAGGCTGCTGGGGCTTATCGGGGTCCCGTAGGGGATTATAAGGCTGTAGGGGGCTTAGGGAGCATACAGAGGGGTTGTAGAGTAGTATGGGGTTATAGGGAACTGTGGGGGAAATAGGGGGATTGTAGGGTAATATGGGGCCATAGGGTGCTGAGGGGGTATAAAGGGTGAGGGGGTGTAGGGTAATTTCCTGCAGAAGCTGGCAGTCAGTGCCTCCCCCACCTCCCTGGGCATCCATTGCAGTGCCTGACCACCCTTTCTGAACAGTAATACTTCCTCATGTCCAGCCTGAATCTCCCCTGCCGCAGCTTGAAGCCATTCCCTCTGCTCCTATCACTGATGACACGAGAGCAGAGGCCGACCCCCAGCTCACTGCAGCCTCCCTTCAGCAGCCATAGAGAGCAGTGAGCTCTGCCCTGAGCTCCTCTTCTCCAGGCTGAACATTCCCAGCTCCTTCAGCCTCTCCTCATCAGCCCTGTGTTCCAGACCCCTCACAGCTTTGTTGCCCTCCTTTGAACGCATTCCAGGGCCTCAATATCTTTCTTGCAGTGAGGGGCCCAAAACTGGACACAGTACTCGAGGTGCGGCCTCACGAGTGCTGAATATAGGGGAACAATCACTTCTCTGCTCCTGCTTGCAACACTGTTTCTGATGCAAGCCAGGATGCCATTGGCCTTCTTGGCCACCTGGGCACACTGTCGGCTCATGTTCAGCCGAGCATCAATCAATACCCCCAGGTCCATTTCCTCTACGCAGTCCTCCAGCCACACCGCCCCAAGCCTGCAGCGTCGCCTGGGGTTGTTGTGGCCGAAGTGCAGGACCCGGCATTTGGCCTTGTTGAAACTCATCCCATTGGCTCCAGCCCAGCTCTCCAGCCTGTCCAGATCCCTCTGTAGGGCCTCGCTACCCCCAGGCAGATCCACACTTCCAGCCCATTTGGTGCCATCTGCGAATTTACTGAGGGTGCACTCGATGCCCTCCTCCAGGCCATCAATAAAGATATTGAGGAGGACAGGCCCAGCACCGACCCCTGGGGAACACCACTCATGACCGGTCGCCAGCTGGATTTAACTCCATTCACCACCACTCTCTGAGCCCGGCCCTCCAGCCAGCTCCTCACCCAGCACAGACTGCACCCATCCAAGCCTCTGGCTGCCAGCTTCTGCAGGAGAATGCTGTGGGAGACAGTGCCAAAGGCTTTGCTGCAGTCTAGGTAGACCACGTCAACAGGATTTTTTGTGGAGTGCTGTGAAAGGATGCTGTTGATTTGAGAGCTGACTTCAAGTCTGCGGGCATCTCCCAGGAGCTGGGGTAAAGGAGAGGCAAGGAAAGCTGTGGTAGGAGGCTGAGGTGTAGGAAGAGCAACGTCTTCCATTGATACCAACTCCTGCTGTTCCCTTTTTGACTTGGAATGCATGCTTTTCTAATCAAGAACAAACTCCTTGTGCAGCTTGTGAATGAATTCATTCCCTCCTGTTACTGTCTGGTGTTCTTCTCTACACAGAGCTGCAATTGAAATGGACACCTCTGGTCTGATTGCCAGCCCCATCCCGCATGCTCAGATCAGCCAAGTTTGCAAGGCCTGGCTCTTGTGGGTGAGTTGTGCCCCAGGTCAGAGAGTTGGCTCTTCTTAGCCTGGAGATGTGTTTCCCAGTTGCATGCTGTGCTGTTCCTGTTGCGTTGACCTCTTGAGCTGCAGCCCTAACTGGGGATCCAAGTAGACTGACACAGAAGGAACGGTTGAGATCTGTGTGAGCTTGGATTGGAAATGCAGTGCCAAGGGCTGCACAAACGTGGGACGGTTCTGAGTGTAAGGAAAGGCATCTGCTGGGTGAGGGCTTTGCTGGGTGAGCGTCACCGTGCTGAAGAGCAGGCAGCTGTTGTCTTTGCAGACAGCCACATCCATAGGGATTGGAAGCTTCCTCTGCCTTGCAGCTCTTGGCTGCTGCTCTGAGAGTGGAGCTTCTTGCCCTGAGAGAACCAGCAGCAGAAAGGATCCCATGCGTGGCCTCTGAGCCCTTTCAGACCAACCAGCTGGATTCTCGTGGCTGTGACCTGGGTTTGCAGTTCACCCAGCAGGCTTTGCCCAAAGCAGGATGAGCTGTGGGCACAGCGTCCAGCAGTGGAAGCGACCAACAGCTGGAGACAGCAGCAGCCTGAGCGGAAAGCGGCGCCCCTGGGGGAAATGCTCACTGAACAAAGGCCCAGAAGAAGAGAGCAGCTTGTCCCTGCGTTCACATGGTAAGGTTTTCCTTTCTCACCTGACTGTTACCCCTCAGGTGGTGCCTACAGCTGTGTGATGTGCTCTGCAGGCAGTGCTGCAGTTCTGCATTTAACCTTGTCTTCTGTCTTCTTCTGAAGTTTAGAGGCAACCTGAATTTCTACAGCCCTGAGCTTTGTGCCACAAGAGCCTTCCGGCTTCTTTTTTGTGATGTGAGACTGTGTTGTGGCTACTCTACGTCAGGCTCTTTTTCCCTTTTCATTTTCAGGTAGGGAAATTCATTTCTGGGCCAGGAGAAGAAGAAATGCAGCAATCTTCCCTGCACTGCTCAGTTGGCCTGAGTTGCCAAGTGCTCCTCGTTTTTCTTGCACCCTTCAATTCCAAGTCCATATTTTCCCCAAAGCAAAAGAATTCAGAGGTAACCACCTACAGTTCAGTAAGCGATTTCAGTATTTATTTCTGACTGTGGCAATTCCTTCAGTTCAGAAGTCACATTTAATTTACAGCGCCTGCTTTAATTCTGACCAAGGTTGCAGTGGCAGCTGGCTTCCCAAGGCTGCAGTACGTGCTGGTGGCACAGCCGTGGGCTTCTGCATTTGTGCTGATCCCACATTTCCTTTCTCTGTGTCGCAGGTCAGCTGGCGCTGGAAGTGGACGGCATGCAGTGTGAATGGAGGTCAGTGCAGGAGCAGCTGCTGGGAGGAAGGAAGTGCAGGTTGATGGACGCTGACGCATCGCCTGGCATGGCACCAGAGGAGGCAGCAGTGATGCTGGGGGGCAGCTGCAGAAGAACACGAGGAGCTCCTCAGCAGGAAGCCACAGACCCTGCAGAAAGCTGCAGCAGACTCAGAGCACGCATGGATG